TATATATATAATATATTATAATACATATATTTATTTGCGAGCCTTTACAATAACAATTTGAGGAGAGATATAGGGCTTGTTCGAGTTGCAATCACAAGCGCAGTGTGGCGCGAATTATTGAAGTATCACGTTCTGTGTGAATTTCAAGCAATGTATTATCAGTTGGGCAGTTACAACAATGTTGCCATTTTACATCAGTATGGCAGTAATGCCGCTTTTATTACGTGCCTCGAACAGGCCCAAATTATGTATGTACAGTATGAACAAAAAATCAGCAAAAAGACATTTATGCAAGACGCAGACGTTGAGTAGTATAAATTCTCCTTGAATCTAAATAAAAAAAAATTCACCACGGTTCAAGCGAAGCCATTTACACAAACTCAAAATGCCAGACTTTCGAATTCATTAACAGCATTGTGAAAAGTTATTGAAAAACTCCACACAACACCCGTACATTTATTAAATGCTCAGACATACTTAAATACATGTAAACATATGAGCAGCACAGAATAATAAAAATGCATGCAAACACTTAAAAACTGTAGATTCTGTTCATTCTTAACAATTACCAATTTACATAGCTCATATTTGCATACATCAATTTTATTTATCAAGCCAATTTACTTACATATGTAATTCTAAACCGAAAGAAATCAAAAGTAAACGAAATGGCTGTTATGTTGTTTTACATACATACATACATATGTATAACAGAAAAAGTCAAATAAACAATTTTTTTACAATCCAGCTACGTAAATGCTTATATAGATCGCGTCTTAACTGAAGGATTCTCCATTACTGAATTATGATTGAATATATGATTTTACTATTTAATGCAAATTTGTAAAATGTAATAATATAATCTTTATATATATTTAATGATGAATGCTTATGAATTAATGAATAATGTAAAATAAAAATGAAATAAAAAATAAAAAAAGCTTTAAAAAAAATATGAAAAGTGGTGTTTGTAGTATTAGCAAAAATCAGTTGTTGTTGTTGTTGTTCCAGCATACAAATTCCCCAAAAGAGTATATGGGGAGTGATGCTGTTGTGACAGTCCTTGACTTGATATGAAGCTGGGTCGTTTCGATTACGTAGACGCGACATATCAGTTCTCTGATTCTGCGATCGAGTTCAAAAAGGATCTTAATGATTATTTTTAGTAGATGTAAACCAGAAAATACTAGCCAAAAATCTTAAACTTTATTCCTTCTCACTTTTTATATCCGATCGAAGAGTGGACCTGGGCAGTTATTTGAATAGCCGATATATTCTTTAAAGTGAGTTTGGCTGGTAGTTACTCTTCTGTGCAAACTGACGCCAATTGGAAATACGAATGAAAAATGTCATTTCCACCTGGTCTATCCATCTTAGAGGAAGCCTCCCTCTTCACTGTTACCAGTATCGTGATCCGCGTGCAGATGGCAACAGATATATGTAAATAATTTTAGTCACGTTGCTATTTACATTCCAATCAAGGAACACAGTATTATGTTGTGAAAGCAGTTCCTAGTAGAGTGCTGCAGATGTGGACACCCCAACAGACCACTGCTTGTGGCAGGTCCTCGCCAAGGCACGACAAGACCTTGTATAAAAAAACTGAATAATGGATGCATAAGCAATTTATTCAGGAATAATTCGTTATTTGCAAGTAAGTACATTACGGTTGCAACTTTATTCGAATACTTATCTAAATAACAAATTATTCGAATAATCTCTGATAATAAAGGAAGTGAAACAAAAAAAAATAATTTAAATTAAATGTTCTTTTAAAAAACAACAAATAAAGACTAAGTTATTCCGAAGCACTTTTGAAAATTCGATGCTAAGGCTAGTAATACGCGGTAACTCAACACAAAGATAAATGGAAGAAGTAATTTTCTCGCGTATATTTATCTGTATGAACCTTTATTATTATTATTAGCGAAGCTTTGTATCTAATAATACCTACACAAATTGCTAATTCGTTTTTTTAGGGAGACATTTTATTTTGCTATTTCCAACAATTAATCACGAGTGCATTTAGTCAATTTGAATTGTATTAGTGAATTACCTGTTGACTATCATTTCTGGGATGTTGTTTTTTGTTGTTGCCTCATTAAACGAGAAGCCCATAACGCCGAAACAATAAACTTATAAACAGTAGCTAGCACAATAAAGCTACTATGTTACTTTGATAATGCATTGCTTAATGTAAACATATGTACGTTACAATTGTTTAAAGTTGCCTTATCTTCCGCTTTTATCATTAAGCGACTACATTCCAGTACCCATATTTATACCCATATACAGAGATGACTTGTTTACTATAGATACATATGTATATTCACAATTAGAGACAGATATTTGAATATAAGTGTTACTGTTTGTCAAGATCAAGGTAATATGTGCTTTGTGCTTTGAGGAGCTAAACATTGTAAAACTTGTCGTAGAGAGGTAGGGACATTAAATTATCTACATATCGAATGTTTAATAATATAGAGATGTATTTAAAAACTTAAGTTTTTGGAGATTTCGTTATACAATTAATAGGCTTGATAAGTAGAATATGTTCAGTCTTAACAGATGATTCAACCCAAATATGGCGAAGATATGTTTCTTTCCATCTCTCCTTTATTGGATCTTATCAGCATAGATTTAATCCAGACAAGTCAACCAGTGAGCAGATTAACACAGCGCGGCTAATCCTGTAGCTCGTTTCTGTAACTTTTCTCTATCGATTATTTCTCTACTGGTAGAGAATATACGTCATTCTCTACTACTCATTAGCAGTAGAGAACAGGGCGGCGAATTCATATCTCAATTCGCCTTGGTAGAGAACTGTTACAGAAACGAGCTACTAGAAAGAACATCGCGCTTTCACCGTTTTTTAATTGGCTTTTGGTAGCACGAAAAGAGGCTGTCTCTACGACGCTATGTCTAAATTTCGGATCCCGAAAACTCATACGGCTACGTAGAGTGACGTTGAGTACACGTTTCATCTGCGTTCAAATTGAGATAAAGTTTCCTGAGGCGTTCGAAATCAAATGAGGTTTAAGGCAGAGCCACTAACTTCGTGCGACTTATTTACTCAGATATTGAAAGTGGTAATACAAGCTTTCCACTCGGATCGCAGCAGGACCATATCTATACGGCAAGAAAACGAATATAATTAGAATAAAAAATAAATAAAATACTTAAGAAAAATAGTGATACAAAATATTCTTGCCCTGAATAAATATAAATCCAAATAATTCTAATAAACGAACATAGTTATTAATAAATACCTAAACTTAACGGAATATGTCCAGTGTTGAAACGGCAGAACAATTTCGAACGCGCTCTAAAATCGATCAGCCCATAGAAACACAATTTAATGGCTCCACTGATTTCATACTCGTGACCGATCATCAGTCGCCGACTAAAGGACGTAGCTTCGGCGACTTCTGTGAGTCTAGCCTAAAGAATGTCTTCCGCAAAAAAACGCTCTATAAACGTTTACCTATTTTGAAATGGTTACCTCGATATACACGCAGCGATGCAGTCGGTGATCTAATAGCGGGCATAACTGTTGGCTTGACGGTCATTCCGCAAGGTTTAGCCTATGCCGGCGTCGCTGGACTGCCAACACAGGTTTGTTCAAAGTGATATAAATATATTTTTTTATAAACATTTGTTAGGATTCGCTAGAACTGGGCCATTTGCATTTCATTGACAGGCGCGTGTTGCAGGTGTTTTGCTAAAAATAATTTTGCTGTAGATTGCAGATTAGTCTGTCGACGATGGCCAGCTAAGCACAAAATTGTGAATATATTTATCTTTGCGTATATTTTGGTTCCGAAAGAGAAAAAAAGAGCTAGGGACATAAATAAGGCTTTGTAAAGTGGACAACAACCTTACTTTAGTGTTTTCGCGATTCTCAGTGTGCCTGAAAATGTGAGCATGGTTACTTAATTTAAATGTTACACAGTGATAAATGCCTAAATATTTTACACATGATATAGGCAATGTGTGTATGTGCTATCCTAGAGCTCAATTATTACGTTAACAAAAAAGTTTCTGCTACGAATCGTTTAATTAAATTTTAATTTGCTAAAATTTTACAAGTATCCGTTTTAAAAAATAGTAAAAATGTTGTTCGTAGTTTTTATGCCTAAATATCTTGAAAAGTTCTCAAGAGTACCCACGAATTCTAAGTACGCACTAAGTGCAGATACACCTCCTACACTTGATCGTAATAACTGCTGGAGCTTCGCGAAAGATATATTCACTTGGCAAAGGTTTTTGCTAACGGCCCCAACCCGACGCCATTGACATTCCCACGATAGCCAGTTCTAAGTACCGGAATGTCTCGGGTTTTACCCAACCAAGGGCTGTTGTTTCACTTGTTGTTGTTGTCGCTGGAAGGATCTTAATTTGGAGATTCGGCAACTGGTAAATCAGGGCGAGCGGAAAAAGTAGGAAGACTGGGCGGCCCTTGTCCAAGCCGTGGAAGCCCGATGACAGAGTGGAAATTTCATTCGAAGGTTGCGCCTCATCGGACCCGAAGAAATGCGCGAGCTATTTTAGCTGGCAGTTTACACTGAATCCTAAGGTAGACAAGTCCAAATGTCGAGTGACCTGGAGGCTGCACAAACTGTTAAAAATAGTGCACCATTTGTTGTCACCAGCGTCGAAGTGAAAGGCGCCATAGGGAAGGCGAAATCCTCCAAAGCCATTGGACACGACGGAATCTGTATGGTGAAGCTGAAACATTTGGGGCCCGCGGGACTAGCATACCAAACGGAGGTCTCAACCTGTCAATGGCCACTCTCATCATTCCTGATGTGAGGAAATCACGGAGAGTGGTCCCACTGCTGAAACAGGGGGAACCCGCCAACAAAGGAGACTGTTATCGCCCGATAAGGCTCCTTTCCCCGGTCGCGGAGACACTAAAATCCCTGCTTCTCCCGTACTTCACCTACCACCTGTCCCCGGCGAAGCATCAGCATGACCTCCGTAAAGTGCATAGCACAACAACAGCATTTAACGCCATAAACACCCAAATAACTCGTGGCCTAAACCGCAACCGACCCTGTGAGAGAACTGTCCTAGTAGCGCTGGACTTTTCAAAGGCGTTTGACACCGTCTGCTATGCCACGTTGCTAGAAGACATTGAGGCCTCCTCTCTCTTACAGGGACTCAAGCGGTGGTCGGAAAATTAGTTGAGTGGTCGACAGTCGTCAGTGATCTTCAGAGACCAAACATAGAAACCTATACAAGAATAAAAAGGAGTTCCACAAGATGGTGCTCTCTCCCCCTTACTGTTTAACTTCTATATCTCGAAGATCCCCCAGCCATCTGAGGGAGTTTTCCTGATCTCATTCGCTTGCTCGATAAAGGCATATGGGAATGGAATTGATGACCTCTGCTCAAAAGTAAACGGCTATCTCTCCAGCCTTTCTCTCTTCGTCACTGCAAGGAGCTTAACACTCTCGCCAACGAAATCAACGGCGACCCTCTTCACCACCTGGACGAAGGTGGTCCGGCAAGAATTAATAGCCTGCTCTCTTTCTCCACGCACACAGCTGCAGTTGTCAACAAATTATAGTTAGAGCCGCAATAAGGTCCTCAAGTTGCTCGCCGGCAGCACCTGGGGCAAAGACTCATTCGGAAACTTAAATGACTACCATTTTAAAAAAGACGCAGGCACATAATTTCTTTATCTTTATCACATGCACATGTCGTTGATGACATATACAAAACCGGATTAAATGTGATATGATTTTGCATCTCGTGATATAAGCTCGGGTGATGGAAATTTGACGATGTGATATAAAATCGTTATTTAGAGTTGTTTCATTATTTGCAATTCGTACGAAAACAAGGATACGTCACAATATGTATAATATTATTTATATTTCTTTTACAACTCTCACTGTTATCATATCCACAGTGATATGTCACATCCGATGACTTGTTTAATGTGATGTAAAATCATTTAAATATTCTGAATGGTATTACAATAAAAAGCATTCATATGCATATCATCCCATTTTTGCGTTAATATCGTATCTATATTAGAGTAAGCCTAGAATCGTATGAATTTTTTTTATTTTCTTCCACAAGGTTGAATACAAGAGTTCCTATACAGCGTGGCGACGAATAACTGCTACCCAGGTTTTTTGAACTTAATATTTTTTTATTCAACTAAAGTAGTGAGCACCCACTTCCTGTTCCTGTTTTACTTTTTAAATAGTATGAGTTGCTTTAAATGAACCTCTATATTTTCCCAAAAAATGTAGATACTGCCAAAATTGAGCGTACGGCTTTTTTGTTAATATTCGCAATGTTTTACATCCTAATTTTTTTTTTTTTGTTAATTTTGTTTTAAAATATAGCTTATGTTTTAGCAAATCCCATTTAAATCCACGAATGATACTGTGTACAAAAATTAAGAAGAATCTGCAAAGCTTCAGCAAAATCGAGAACTTTTTAATACGGAATTTCTAAAAAGAATTCAGTATGAAGTTAGCCCATGACATTTTAGTTTAATAATGTGCAAATTTCAAATGTCTAAAAATTCTCGTTGAATTTCGAGATTTTTTTGCTGGCTGTCCTACGCATTTTTTTTCATATAAAAAAAATCTGAAAGTTGTTTAGTACAATAATCTGCAAATTTCAAACCTCTAAAAAATTGAGTTTTCTTTTTGCTTTTTTTTCATATAAAAAAAATTCTGAAATTTTTTTAGTATAATAATTTGCAAATTTTAAAGAATTAGTTTGCTGACTGTCCTACGCATTTTTTCATATAAAAAAAAAAATCTGAAAATTTTTTGTGTGGAAAAAAATGCGTAGGACAGTCAGCAAATAAATTCTCAAAAATCAACGCATTTTTTAGTTGTTTCAAATTTCCACATTATTACACTAAAATTTAATGGGCTATAAAATTGCATACTTGAATTCTTTTTAGAAAGTCGTATTAAAAAATTCACGATTTTGCTGAAACTTTACAGATTTTTCTTAGTTTTTGAACACAGTATCATTTTTGGAATTAAATGGAGTTTGCTAAAATATAAGCCGTGGTTTTATACAAAATTAATTAATTTTTAGCATGTAAAACATTGCGAATATTAACAAAAGGCAGTACGTGGTTATTGGTATATTAATATGTACACATTTTCGTTATTACACATGTTCGAAGTGTTGTTATTTTTTGCAAAGATTTATAAAAATATTATTTATTTTACCCCCCAGTATGGTCTTTATGGTGCGTTTATGGGATGCTTCGTTTACGTAGTACTCGGCACGTGTAAGGACAGCACCATCGGATCGACAGCGATTGCATCTCTTATGGTCTTCCAGTTCGCCAAAGGTGAATGGCAACGCGCTGTGTTACTTACATTCCTCACTGGCATCATCGAAATTCTTATGGCACTCTTCCGATTAAGTTTCATCATTGAATTTGTTTCGGGTCCAGTGAGCGCCGGCTTCACAAGCGCTGTCGCATTAATCATCTCCACATCGCAGATTAAAAATATAATCGGTGTTAAAAATGGAGAAGGCTCCACATTTCTGGAGCGTTGGATAAGCATGATTAACGATATCGGAAGTATACGCATAGCGGACACCATTCTCGGCTGTAGCTGTGTTGCAATTTTGATATTAATGCGCTTCATAGGACGCATTAAGGTGGGTCCAAAAACTGAACGCAAATGGTATCATAACTTGCTCACTAAAATTCTGTGGTTTCTGGGCGTATCACGAAATGCCACATTGGTGGTGGTATGCGCAGTACTGAGCATGCACCTGAAACATCAAGGTAAAGATTACTTTCGGCTGACAGGATTTATACCAGCGGGATTGCCTGAATTTCGTCTACCACCCTTCTCCATTGATGCTGTACCGGCCAATTCTACTAGCGGGCAGTTAGCTGTAGAACCTGAATCATTCTTGGATATGGTGAGTAATTTGGGTTACGGCCTGTTGATTGTGCCGCTCGTTGCGTTGCTGGAGAATATTGCCGTATGCAAAGCTTTTGGTGAGTCTAACAATAGGCGTAAGATCCTAAATTATTGATTTATTTATTTTTTTCAATTTGCAGCTAAAGGACAACCTATTGACGCAACACAAGAATTAGTTGCCATGGGCGTAGCAAACNATTATTTTTTTTTCAATTTGCAGCTAAAGGACAACCTATTGACGCAACACAAGAATTAGTTGCCATGGGCGTAGCAAACGTGGCCAATTCATTCTTCCAAGGTTATCGTGCCAATGGTGGTCTCGCACGTTCGGCTGTCAATAACGCTAGTGGCGTTCGTACACCACTCGGAAATCTTTATATCGGCTTGATAGTGATGTTTGCTTTGGTCTATTTAACTGACTTCTTCTACTATATTCCAAAGGCAGTTCTAGCTTCCATCATTATCTCAGCGGTGATCTTCCAACTGCAGTATCATGTTATATTGCCAATGTGGCGTAGTAAGCGTAAGTACTAAGAGCAATGAAGTATGGAGTTCAATGTGAAAAAATTTNAAGGCAGTTCTAGCTTCCATCATTATCTCAGCGGTGATCTTCCAACTGCAGTATCATGTTATATTGCCAATGTGGCGTAGTAAGCGTAAGTACTAAGAGCAATGAAGTATGGAGTTCAATGTGAAAATATTTCCACCACGAATGTTTCATGGTGTTTAGGGGGCTTATTTTATGAAAGAATAAAATACGTATTTCTTTTTTTTTNAAATTTTCCTAGAATGTGTCATGGTGTTTAGGGTGCTTATTTTATGAAATAATAAAATACGTATTTCTTTTTTTTTGAGTGAAACATACAGTCAATCAATAAAATTTAGGTACAGCGATTTTTTTTTTGCAATACGTGCAACTGTTTATAATTATTTTTTTTTTCACAATTTTTTTTAATATGGTTAATTCTACTACGAAGACCCTAAAAATCCGAGCTCCAAATCTTGTGCAAAATCAAAGAAAATTCTGCAAATTTTCATGAAAATTTTCTCTTTAAACTGAGTACGCAGTTTTTAGCCCATTCAATTTTTGTATAATATTGTGCAAGTCTGAGGAAGCTATGATTTTTGGCAAATTTTTTTGTTGAAGGTAACGCTCATTTTGTCTATATAAAAAATTTGTCAAAAATCATTGATAGTTCCTAGCTACCTCAGACTTGCACATTATTATACTAAAATTTAATAGGCTAAAAACAGCATACTCAACTTTTTTCAAAATAGTCCAATTAAAAAGTGAAATATGTTAATGAAAATTTACAGAATTTTCTTTAATTTTGCACAAGGTTTGAAGCTCAAATTTTTTGGCGTTTTTATTGTAGAATTAACCATATTTTTATAAAAAAATTTACGAAAAACAAAATAAATAAATAACAGTTGCCCGTATTGCAAGAAATCGCTGTACATAAACTTTATTGATTGGCTGTACTTAAACCGTCTATGTGATCGTAGTAGTGGTATTTTCCCAAAAATGCCTNATTTTTTTTGCAATATGTGCAACTGTTTTTAATTACTTTATTTTTCACAATTTTTTTTAATATGGTTAATTCTAATACCAAGACCCCAAAAATTCGAGCTCCAAACCTTGTGCAAAATTAAAGAAAATTCTGCAAATTTTCATCAAAATTTTCCCTTTAAACTGAGTACGCAGTTTTTAGCCCATTCAATTTTTGTATAATATTGTGCAAGTCTGAGGAAGCTATGATTTTTGGCAATTTTTTTTTGTTGAAGGTGTCACTCTTTTTCTCCATATAAAAAGTTTGTCAAAAATCATTGGCAGTTCCTAGCTAGCTCAGACTTTCACATTATTATACTAAATTTTAATAGACTAAAAAACAGCATACTCAACTTTTTTCAAAAGAGTCCAATTAAAAAGTGAAATATTTTAATGAAAATTTACAGAATTTTCTTTAATTTTTCACATGGTTTGAAGCTCTAATTTTGGTGTTTATGTTGTTATGTTATTGATTGACTTAAACCGTCTATGTGATCGTAGTAGTGGTATTTTCCCAAAAATGCCTTAGCCGTTATCCTCAATACATTAATTCTACCTTTATATGGGGTTACAATTAAAACAAACATGGATGGTTAATTCAGAAATGGATTTAAAAACAGGTCCTTATTTTTTTGAAACAGTGGGCTCTGAGTTTAAATATTGGTTGTTCTAATAATAATGTTAGTAGANTCATGGATGGTTAATTCAGAAATAGTTAATTTTGAAATAGTGGGCTCTGAGTTTAAATATTGGTTGTTCTAATAATAATGTTAGTAGATTAACTGTTACGTCATTTTATCCTTTCAGGTACCGATTTAATTCCATGTTTTGTTGCCTTCATTGCCTGCCTGGTTTTGCCGCTGGAGGTGGGCATCCTTATAGCAATCGGTGTGAATCTTCTATTTATTTTATACCATTCGGCGCGTCCGAAAGTTCGTCTGGAGACATTGGAGGTACTTACATAAGTCTGCCAAAAGCATTGATCATCAATTTTATCTGTTTTTCCTCGCTTTACAGACTCATGATGGCATAAAATTCCTGAAACTAACACCAGATCGCTGCCTCATCTTTCCCTCTGTCGAATTTGTGCGCAATCTTGTATTGAAATTTGGTAATAAAACCACACTTCATGTGGTTATCGATTGCACCTACATCTATGGTGCGGACTACACTGCCGCCAAAGTGATATCTTCGCTAATTGAAGACTTCAAACAAAGAAACCAGAAAATTATTTTCTATAATTTAAAGTCAAATGTTGTGCAAATCTTTGAGGGTTTGAACCTAAATTTGGTTTTGTGCTACAATACTGATGCGCTGACACAGGCGTTGAAGGAGAATCTTAATGGTGCGGTATCAAACTCAGTACCTCATCTTAGCGCTGATGTCGAGTCTGGGGTGGAGAGTAGTAGTGAAACACTGAATTCTACTCTTATATCCGACACGCCGACCACTGATAACTTATCGAAATTGTAAATAACTCAGTCAGAATGTGCGTAGGCAGGAACACATATTTACATAAGTATATGTACATTTAAGTGTTTGTAAATATTTTTATTAGAAGCTAGTTTACCTGGAAAATATGTTCCTAAAAGTACGCAGTTTTTTTTTTGTGAGCGATATGTATTAGAAGATTAAAAACATATTTTAATAAGAATTATTTATCTTAACTTCAACGAGCGTAGTATGTTAATTAGAGATAAGTTTTGTGATTTGACAAAAGATTTTAAACTATTGTACTAGCATTTAACCCGGGTGAAAAAGTATGTTTGCTTTTTTTACGAACTTGCGAAAATCTTGAAAATAAAATATGAAATATATTTTATATCTGCGACAAAGCTTGATCTTAACAAGTAATTGTTAAAAAAAAAAAACAAAACCGACTTCAATTCTCATATAAAATTTAGGAGTACCGTGATTCAATGATTCTGAGACACTACCTTTCCGATGCAAAAAGAATTATCCAAATTGGTTGACGTGGTCCAAAGTTATGCGGTAGCATACATAAAAAAAATCCAACGAACTTATAGCCTCCTGCTTTTTTGGAAGTCGGTTAAAAATATTAAGAATATGAAAGCGATTTTAGCCGATCCCAACAAAGCACGCCAGTCGTTTCTCTTTTGTGCCAACAGACGCCAATTGGAAATGCCAAGGCAAGCTAAGTCCTTCTCCATCTGTTTTGCAATGCAGAGGAAGCCTTCATTTTCCTCTATTACCAGCATGGCACAATGTTTCAAAATTGGCATTTTCACAGTTCACTGGAGCCTTCATTTTTCACTCAAATTTATTTGCTTTTTTTACTGAAAGCTAATAAACTTTGCAAAAGACCAGTTGAGCCAGATTGTGTGAATTTTTGTTTGCTTGTATTAAATTTTTTATTGCAAAATGCAGAGAAAGTAGCAATTTTGAAGAAAATCAGTTCTTGTTCCAGTTAATAAATTTTACATAATAATAACTAGTTAAAAACAATTGTAAAAAGCTGTAATTATTCTGGAGCCCTGCTCATCAAAGGTTCTGAAGAGAACTTTCTTTTTGTGACTTGAAGGGCTTTGGTCACTTTGTGAACTCTATTTCGTTTTAAGTAAAAGGTCTGAAATTTTAAGGAAAAGCAATTGCTCAGTTTTTATTTATATGACCTATTGTTCACAAAAACTTTAATCAAATACTTCTTAGCGATTTTTAACCAAATATTCTGCAGAGCTCAGGACATTTTACCGCCTCATAGGCCAGATGCCCCTTGAGTGAACCCAATTTTTCGGTTTGGTAATTTAGAAATTTTAGCAGCCTAGCAGTTTGGCGAAAGGTTTCAATGGCATCAACTCTTAAAGGAAGCCTTTTTCGAAGAACGAATTAGCATCTCGTACTCNTAAGAATTATTTATCTTAATTTCAACGACCGTAGAATGTTAATTAGAGATAAGTTTTGTGACTTGACAAAAGATTTTAAACTATTGTACTAGCATTTAACCCGGGTGAAAAAGTATGTTTCCTTGTATGTGAACTTGCGAAAATCTTGAAAATAAAATATGTTTTATCTCAGTGACAAAGCTTGATCTTAACAAGTAATTGTTAAGCAAAAAACAAAACCGACTTCAATTCTCATATAAAAATTTAGGAGTACCGTTAATTTTTTCATGATTCAATGATCGGATCTAAATCAGATTAGTATGGGACCACCTCTGAGACACTACCTTTCCGATGCAAAAAGAATTATCCAAATCGGTTGACATGGTCCAAAAAAAATTCCAACGAACTTATAAGCTCCTGCTTTTTTGGAAGTCGGTTAGAAATAGTAAGAACATGGAAGCGATTTTAGCCGATCGCAACAAAGTACGCCAGTCGTTTCTCTTCTGTGCCAACAGACGCCAATTGGAAATGCCAAGTGAAGCCAAGATGGAGGGTTTTCCAATGCAGATGAAGCCTTCATCTTCCTCTTTTACCAGCATCGCACAATGTTTCAAAATTGGCATTTTCACAGTTTCACTCAAATTTAGTTGCTTTTTTTTAATGAAATCTAATAAACTTTACAAGAGACCAGTTGAGCCCGATTGTTTGAATTTTTGTTTGCTTGTATTAAATTTTTTTTTGTGCAAAATTCAGAGAAAGTAGCAATTTTGAAGAAAATCGATTCTTGTTCTAGTTAATAAATTTTACATAGTAATAACTAGTTAAAATCAGTTGTAAAAAGCTTTAATTATTCTGGAGCCCAGCTCATTCATTTGAAACCCGCAAAGTTTCTGAAGAGAACTTTTTTTGTGACTTGGAGGGATTTGGTCACTTTGTGAACTCTATTTCTCTTTTAGTTATAGCTCGGTTTCTCTTATTCATTTAAGTAAAAGGTCTGAAATTTTAAGGAAAGGCAATTGCTTAGTTTTTATTCGTATGACCTAATGTCTGCAAATTCTGCAGGGTTCAGAGCATTTTACAGCCTCATAGGCCAGAGGCCTCTTGAGTGAACCCAATTTTTCGGTTTGGTAATTTAGAAATTTTAGCAGCCTAGCAGTTTGGCGAAAGGTTTCAATGGCAGCAACTCTTAAAGGAAGCCTTTTTCGAAGAACGAATTAGCATCTCGTACTCTCTTTGCCTGCAGCGATAGCATTTCCACTGCATTTGATGATAAGTTTTGAGTGCCTGGGTAAGGGGTGGACGAAGCCGACAAGCCTTATCCAAACTGACGCGAAAGGCAGTCAATGGAATGACCAAATCAATAGTCAGAGTAGAACGCATCGCACTTTCTAAAGAAGTATAGATTGGTACTAGCTACTCCAGCATGCAGCTTTAATGATGACTGGGGATGCCCAGAATCCGTGTTCCTGCCGCAAGTGCGAGTAGATATTATATACAGATTACAGTTTTGTTTCATATTTCTAGGGTTTGTGGGTATTTTCCAGGCATCCTTCTATTTGCCGAGACGAAATACTGCCATTCGGGATGCTTACAACAAAAGATTTCAGTCGCCTTTTACCAACAACCATGTCTTAATGCGGGTGTATTCTCACCTCTAGTCCTCAGCGTTAATATTTCATAATTTTCCATATCACTTGGAAATGCGAACATCTGATCGACTCACATGCTTGGGTATTTTTTTCGGTTACGCATATAACTGATGAACCCATATTCCTAGTTATGAGTTTCGTAGGATATCAGATATATTTTCTACTGGGTACATGTGGTTGCATATAAAATGATAATGCGCGCGTAGTCTAATCTAACGACCACTGTAGCTGAGTGATTAGTGGTCCGTATACTACTCGGCAGGCAATGCTAAACCTCCGAATGTATTTCTGCCACGAAACAGCTTATCAAAAAATTCATTTGCTGTTCCGAGGCGGCGTAAAATTGTAGGTCCTTACATTTGTGTAACAACATCAAGACGCATATCACAAATCGGAGGATAAGCTCGGCCAAAGTCTTAGCAAAAGTGTATGCAAAAAAATGTTATTACTTTTACATTGTAGGGACGCTGAAACAAAAAACGCCGGTACACGTAAACTTAATTTTGAGTAGTAGATTACGGATACCATTGATCTAGAAAAGTCACTTTCCCCAATATATTTTCATTTTAAGTTTGCAATGGGGATGACGAAACATTAAAAATGGAAAATGTTACTCATACGCCATGTAGGGCTAGAGTACGGCCATGTACGATATGGTATATGAGTAATATTACATCCTGCTTCTATTTCATACCTAAAATTATTGCTCATTTTCATTTGACCATTCAAAAGTTGTTTATTTACCCATAGATTTTCATCACGATTTTTTGGCGACAGGCTTTAATAGAAATGGAAAAATAAAATAAAAAAGTTGTTATTTTTTTAGTTTTTCCTTGTTAAAGTTTGTATTTTTTTATGAATGTTGATCAGAGCCTGCGATCCAAAATTATGTTTACGTGCATCGGTATTTTTGTGACATTTAAAAATTTGAGATTTGCTCTACAGTGTCATTATTATGCAGTCTGATACATGGTACCAGAATCAGATTTTTGCATCAAATATTATTTGCAATTTGAAAAGCAAAGTATTGATTTATTTTCTGACTCTTTTATCAACAAAATAAATTTAGAATTTATTATTTTGATCGAATAATCAATAAAAACTCGTATGACAATTCGCGAAAGTGTTAATAAGTTAGTCAACATTTGTATAAATTAAAGTTAGGAGCCGAGGAATATTATGTTTGTCCATTTAGTCAAATATCTTTAGTTACCTTACTAATTTGTCTTAAGCAAATAAATTTGGCAAATAGCTACGCATATTCCAATATAAAAACATACTCAACAATAGCTCAAACACAAGTACTATGTAAGTAATATTCTACACTATTTGTATATACACTCGTCAAGAGTACGGACATACATACATTTGTGAGTATAAGTATATTGAAACATTTATGTAGACTCAAGGTACCAACGGCTGCAGCGACATTTTTCCTCATGCAGCCTGACGCGCATGGACGTGCGAAGATCGCCTTCTTAGATACTAGTAGTATACTTTTTTTTTAAATTTAATAAGTTTGTATGAACTTGTTCTAATTAAGAGTGTTTCCGTGAAAATTTTCATCTAAACTAATAATTTAATTTTAGAATATTCTGCTGAAGATATCAAAAATAAAGATAATATTTAAATAATTTTAAATCAAAAGAATTTACGCAAATGAAAAGTGAATAAAAATAAATCAAAATAAGTCGCTCAAATAAACATCGTAAATCAAACGCTTTTACCAGATATGTCAAGTGTTAAAACGGCAGAACAAATCGATCAACCTACTGAGCTACAATTAAATGGCTCCACCGATTTCATACTCGTGACCGATCATCAGAAACCTACGAAGGGATGTAATTTTGGCGATTTCTGCGAATCTAGCCTGAATAATGTGTTTCGCAAAAAGACGCTCTATAAACGTTTACCGATTTTGCAATGGTTACCTCGATATACACGCAGCGATGCAATTGGTGATCTCATAGCGGGCATAACTGTTGGTTTAACAGTAATTCCACAAGGTTTGGCCTACTCAAGCGTCGCTGGACTTCCAACACAGGTTTGTTGTTCTACATATTACCACCTACTAAATAAACGTACAATTATTAATTGAAAAGAAAACCCCCAAATTTATAATGGTAACGCAATTTTTGCAGGAATATGTTGTGATCAATACTATCGAAAGCTTTAGAGAAATCGAGCAACACTAACACTGTTAGACAATTTTTATCATAGGCAGGGCGAACGTCCTCAAAAATTTTAAGCATGGCAATTTTATGCATGATAATTTTGATGATGTTTTTTTGTTATTTCATTCGAGCTCGCTGAATCCGGCTACTTTTTCGTTGGCGGTACTCTATGAGCTGGAATACGTCGGTTTGTTGAAGAGTGCTCTCTTAGACCTGTGACAGTCGAGTTTCCGGGCATTCCGGCCTTCTGTTGTGACTGCAACTTGTCGAGAAAAGCTTTCCTTGCTTTTTGGGGCGCACATTTTTTTCTGCACAGATCCACTGGAGTGAACGACAGTACCCTGCGACGGAGTCTCTCCCCCACCACAAATCCAACATTGAATTTGCGCTCCTTTACATGGCAGTTGTAGTAGACACCGCAAGGTCCAAGACATTGCATGCCTTGCCCCATCCAATACATTTCTTGGATGGCGGCGATGCCATCTTTTGTGCTTACGACCACACGGGCAGAGGCACCCTCCCCTTTAAGGATGCGGACATTCCAAATGCATGCCCTCAAATCGTAGTCCCTTAAACTTTTGCCGTGGTCGTCATCCAAAGAGGGGGAGGGGTCTCATCCCAGACTTTGTTTAGTTTTTTCACTGGAAGTGGTTTTTCTTACTTATTTTAAACGTTTTCTCCATACATTTAAAATATTATTTTATTTTCCCGCAGTATGGTCTTTATGGTGCGTTTATGGGATGTTTCGTTTACGTAGTACTTGGTACTTGCAAAGACAGCACGGTTGGCTCGACAGCCATTGCATCACTTATGGTTTTTCAGTTCGCCAAAGGTGTATGGCAACGCGCTGTGTTACTTACATTCCTTACTGGCATCATCGAAATTCTTATGGCATTCTTCCGATTAGGTTTCATCATTGAATTTGTTTCGGATCCCGTCAGTGCCGGTTTCACAAGTGCTGTTACACTGATCATATCCACAGCGCAGTTTAAAGATATTATTGGTATAAAAAATGCGAAAGGTACCACATTTCTGGAGCGATGGATAAGCATGATTAACAGCATTGGGAGTATACGCTTAGCGGACACTATTCTCGGATGTAGCTGTGTTGCTATTTTGCTGTTAATGCGCTTCATAGGACGCATTAAAGTCGGCCCGAAAATGGGGCGGAAATGGTATCACAACTTCGTCACTAAGGTTTTGTGGTTTATTAGCGTATCACGAAACGCCACACTGGTTATGATATGCGCAGCACTGAGCATGTATTTGCAGCAGCAAGATAAAAATTATTTCCGGCTGACAGGATTTATACCAGCGGGATTGCCTGAATTTCGTTTACCACCCTTCTCCATTGAAGCTGTACCGGCCAATGTCACTGCCGGCCAGTCAGCTGTAGAAGCTGAATCTTTCTTGGATATGGTGAATAATTTGGGTTACGGACTGTTGATTGTGCCGCTCGTCGCATTGTTGGAGAATATCGCTGTATGTAAAGCGCTTTGTGAGTTGAACTATTTTTATATTCATCGCATAGTACGAAAATTCTTTGAATTTATTCTATAGCTAAGGGGCAGCCTATCGACGCATCACAGGAATTGCTTGCAATGGGTGTAGCGAACGTGGCAAATTCATTTTGTCAAGGTTATCGTGCCAATGGTGGTCTGGCACGTTCGGCTGTCAATAAAGCCAGTGGCGTTCGTACTCCGCTTGGCAATTTTTATATTGGCATAGTTGTAATGTTTGCTTTGGTCTATTTAACTGAGTTCTTCTACTATATCCCAAAGACGGTTCTGGCTTCCATCATCATCTCAGCGGTGATCTTCCAACTGCAGTACCAGGTGATCATGCCAATGTGGCGTAGTAAACGTAAGTGCTGCAAAAATAGTTGATAAAAAAGTTCGTGATGCTAAAAATATCGCATTATTTTTTTTAATTTCTCTATTATCTTCTCTTTCCAGGTACTGATTTAATTCCTTATTTTGTTGCTTTGGTAGCCTGCTTGGTTATGCCGTTGGAGGTTGGCATCCTTTTAGGTATAGGTGTAAATTTATTATTTATTTTGTATCATTCAGCGCGTCCGAAAGTTCGTCTGGAGACATTGGAGGTACTTAAGTGAACCAAAAACCTTAATCTATGTTTGGAGCTTTGTGTGTTTTTAATATGTTCTTGGTTTCTTTTCAGACTCATGATGGCATTAAATTTATCAAACTCACACCAGATCGCTGCCTCATCTTTCCCTCCGTCGAATTTGTGCGCAATATTGTATTGAAGTTTGGCAATAAAACTACACTTCCTGCAGTAATCGATTGCACCTATGTCTATGGTGCGGATTATACCGCAGCCAAAGTGATTTCTTCTCTAATTGAAGATTTTAAACAAAGAAATCAGAAGATTATTTTTTACAATTTAAAGCCGCATCTTGTGCAAATCTTTGAAGGATTAAACGTAAACTTGGTTTTGTGCTACAATACTGATGCACTTATGCAGGCGTTGAAGGATAATCAAAATGTTATGGCAACAAATATTGTACCTTCCCTTCAAAATGACGTAGAATCTGGGGTGGGGAGTAGTGTGGAAACACTGAATTCAACTGTTGTGTTTGACGCGCCGAGCACTGATAACTTAACAAAATTTTGCAAATGAGTGCGTGTGTTTCGAGATACAAAGTTATTTTAACGAGTTGTTGATATACTTTTGAAAACTAATAAACTGATTTCCTACCTTTAATGGTCTTACAATCTTAACTTCCTCTGTTGTCTTTCTTGTTCTTGTACATATACTTTTCTCTTTTTACTACCTAATCCACCTAACTACAAAAATCCGAATTAATATTATTTTCAGTTTATAAATTGTTAAATTAATACATTTTATTTAGCATACATAAGTAGAAAAAGTGGCCACTCTTTAAAATGCTTTCAAAATAACTTGGAGCAAATGTGTAGAAACTTTGATGCAACGTTTCAATTAACTAAGTTCAGTATGCATTTAACAAAATGGCAACCCTTTTTTCAAAATATATTTAGGGATTTTTTAAATTTATTACTTTAGGCGCCTGTGGTATAATGATTTATTTAAGCTCTCATTTAATTGAACAGCAACTTTTGAACTGGTGCCAACCCTCTACAAAAAACTTTCATAAATGAGGCTCATTTAGACCTCTATCGTTTGATACCAATATTAGAAATTCCATTTAATTTGAATTGACTTTGAATTTCTAAACAGGCGGTAATCTTCTTCAAAAACGTAAATAAAGAATGTCCTCTTAAACTTTTTTTGATTGACACCTACATATGTATGTACATATATATGTATGTATATGTATTAAAGGGTTTTAATTATTCATATTCATTTAATTGCTTTTGAGCAAAAGGCAACCCTTTCAACAAATATTTTAGAAGCAGAGATTTTTTAAACCTCTATTTGACACCCGAATTAATATATTTCATTTAACTTGTTAACTGAATTGATTACTTTACTTATTTTGCACCACCCTAATGTACATAGTACATGCTCATTTTAGTCTTAAATTTTGTTTGATACTTCATTTGTTGGGTAAGTTTGGATACATTTTCACCAACATTCTTTTTGGATGTATTTGAATATTTCACACAAGCAATTAATATGAAAATATAAAATTTGGTATCAAAGGGTATATGAATTGTTTAATATTAGATGGCTGTACGGTGATATTCCATTCAGATCCACATACATATGTATGTACGCATAGTTAACTTAGGTAAGTTTCCCATTATTTTCCTACAACTCAAGGTTAATATGGCTGCTAGGGGTATTTAAAGTTTAAGCGATATGTACGTAAATTGCGTGTAAAGGCTAATTGAGATAGTTTTGTCTTTTTGGGCATTCAAAATTAATAAGAAGAGGGCATATTTTTTGTGCCCGATCGAATTTAGCTCCGGTTTCGGCCCTGCCTCTCAAGACCAAAAATAGAAAAAAAAAAACGAAAACTGAAAAGGGAACTATAAAAATAAACAAGAATGTNCAAGTTTGGATACATTTTCACCAACATTCTTTTTGGATGTATTTGAATATTTCACACAAGCAATTAATATGAAAATATAAAATTTGGAATCAAAGGGTATATGAATTGTTTAATTTTAGATGGCTGTACGGTGATATTCCATTCAGATCCACATACATATGTATGTACGCATAGTTAACTTAGGTAAGTTTCCCATTATTTTTCTACAACTAAAGGTTAATATGGCTGCAAGTGGTATTTAAAGTTTAAGCGATATGTACGTAAATTGCGTGTAAAGGCTAATTGAGATATTTTTGTCTTTTTGGGAATTCAAAAATAATAAGAAGAGGGCATATTTTTTGTGCCCGATCGAATTTAGCTCCGGTTTCGGCCCTGCCTCTCAAGACTAAAAATAGAAAAAAAAAACGAAAACTGAAAAGGGAACTATAAAAATAAACAAGAATGTGAGTTGATATAAAAGTGGTAAATCATGCCAATTCTCAGGCCAGATACATACATGTTTACCATATTTGAAATATATAATAACCAGGGAACGGATTTTTAGGACCTAAAAACCTATAAAAAAGGCAAAATAAAGTAACGAAATAGGATGGAAAAGGCAAAATAAAATAGCGAAAAAGGCAGGAAAAGGCACTAGGAATTGCAAAAAAGGCTAAACAAGGCAAAACAAATTAACGAAAAAGGCAGGAAAAGGCAAAAAAAAGGTATTGCAAAAAAAGCAAAATAAGGCACTAGAAAAGACAGAAAATACGAAGAACAATCAATAAATAGTTATATTTATTTTGGAAATGCTTATATAACAAGTAAAAAGAGAAAAACTATGAAGTAGTTTCATTATATGAAAAATTTNAACAAGTAAAAAGAGAAAAACTATGTAGTAGTTTCATTATATGAAAAATTTGTACTTTGAATCTTTGACTATTTTATCCTTTCGAGTTTCTAACTCATAAAACTTTAATCTGTATAGTTGTAGTAACATTGAACCACACGATGCATTTTGAAGTTTTCTGGCAGCATTTTCATTCGATTTTCGCGAAGAAAAGCCTTGAATGTACTAAATGTGCGCTCGACGTAAGTTGATACAAGTGGAGCCCAATTTAAATATGGAACGTTTGAAACGTTCATATTATCAGAAATAAGGGCGTTTTCCTCGCCCTTTACAATTTTATCCACACCCCTTATTGTCTTCAAGCCTACGTTAGCTTTCTCAGCTAACGGCTTTGAATTTTTTCAACACCAATTTGGCAAGAGGTCCCTGTGCTTCTAGAAGCTGCATGGGCATGTGTATATTTTTTAATCTTAAAAAAAATATTGTAAATGCTATAATCACTTTTTTAAAGGTGGAAAAGGCAAAAAAAGACAAATATCTTAAAAAAGGCAAAAAAAAGGCAAATATCTTAAAAAAGGCAAAAAAAGGCAACTTCAAATGTGTATATATGGAATCAGGGAAAGCTAAATCGTGGACATTCTTAATCGAATATACTCTATCTCTTTAGCAGAAAAAAAGGCAATTTCCATAAAATCCGTTCCCTGATAATAACACTTCTATGTGCTATTCACCAGAGTTCGTTCACTTCTATTTCTCTTCACAGTAATATTAATCGCATTACTTATTTTAAACGCATAGGTACCATGCCATATATGTACATACATATATATTTGTGGGATAGATTTTATTACATCTTATTTTTATGCAGATCTACATATTTCGTTCACGTACTCTAGTTTTATTATAAAAGAGAATATTTAAACTACCATTGCCGGCATAAATTACTACCACACAGAGGGTGACTGGAATATGAATTATAAATATCGATAGCTTAGAGTGAAAAGTTGCTAAGTCCATATTTTCTAAAATATTATATTTTGATGCGAGATGCCTGAGCAATAAAAACTGTAACGGTGTCTAGAAGATTCTATTCTATTTCTAGCCGTTTCTATTCAGTGATATGCTAATTTGCTAAGTCTAAAATAATTACAGAAAATGTGATAACAAAGAATACAAAAATTTGTGGAATTTGGTCCATTTGGAGTTCATTTCATTTGGAGTATTTTTGGAAAACAAATTTTACAAGAAAATAAGTGTGAAAGGTTTTTATTATTTTCTGTTAAACTTGAAAAAAGTTGACTTAGCAACTTTTAACTGTAAGCTAACGACATTATATTTTTGTATGCATTCTCATTTATTAGCCACCAAACTATTTTTGCTAACACCTAAAACTATGCTTATGTTATTGTAAACACGTACACCACTGCCAAGTGCACTGTAGAAAATAGTAGATTGGGTTTTTTTTTTACATATATGTGGACTTTTGACAAAGCTTTCTGTAGGTTGGAATTTAGAATAAAATGTGAGGAATTTCCATTCAAAAATTTTTCATTTTTATTAAAATTTCATTAAGATAACATTCTAAACTACTCCTAATGATTGGAAATAAAAATATCTTATAAGAACTCTATGAATTATTGCTTTGAAGAGAGAATGACCTCACTCAATAGAAATACTTTTGTCAAATCTCTACAGAGATGTATGCATGTCACACCCTGAAGATACCTATGTAAATATTTTTTGAAATCTAGCGATTGATTTATGAGCAACTTTGAAAAATAATAATACCGAAATACAACATTCATTAGAGCAATATATATGTACATATACATATATGCACATACCCTTGTGGTCACCCTACAGGAAATTGTATTAGTTTGAAAGAAATTTATAAACAACTTTATTTTCAATAATAACTAATTGAAATTCGCACTATTTTACCTGCAACATGGCCATGTCCTAGGAAGCAGTCAATTGCCTTTTCCCGCATGTATTTTCAACTACTTTAAAATGAGTTTAGCTTAAACAATTTCAAAGTCAGTATGTTTTGTTTGAATACGCTTTCTTTCTGGACTTCACAGATGCTTTTTCATACTTCCAAGACACAAATTGTTCTTTTTTAGCAAAAAAGAGTATAAAAATTCGAAGCATTTACTCATTGCGTTTGTGGTAAAGTAGTCTATCAATTAGTTTATTTAACAAAAAGCACTGGTTTCCGTATTTCTTTTGTCTATTTAATGTTTATAATTTTTTTTATAAAAGCCTGGCACATTATATAACCAGCACCACATAAATCCACATTTCAAGCTTCATTCAAAAATTATAAAAATTCAATAAACTTTAACAATTACACCCGAAAATGTAAAACATTTTATTAAAAATTTTAAGAAAAATTTTAGGTATGCAGTTTTATAGCCCAATAAATGTTAGAACGTTGAAATGCAAGACTCTAGAAAATTGCGATGATTTTTAATAATTTTTTTGGCTGATGGTGTTGTGCATTTTCTTCCATATAAACATGCTCGACAATTTCGTTTGTATGGGAGAAATTTTTCTAGCACCATCAGCAAAAAAAGGTTATAAAAATTCAACGCGATTTTCTAGCGTCTTGAAATTTGCTCTTTAACCTTCAAAAATTTAACGATCTAAAAAACTGCATAACTAAAATTTTTCTAAAAATTCTGAGTAAAAAGCTTAAAATTTTCGGCTGCAAAAGTTAAAGTTTGTTGAATATTCATAATTTTTGTATGAAGTTTGAGATGTGCAGTTATGTGGCGCTGGTTAGGTAAAAAATATAAACATTAACTAAATAAA